GTGGTCTTTGGGTAGGGTCTTCCGCGTTTCGCAGAGCTTCGGATACTTTGATGGCAATGGCAACGAGAGCGGGCCCCTGAATATACTCCTAATAGGGCTCCGACACCGACGCCAAGGCACACCTTGAAGAACCCTAAACCCTCAACCCAAACCCTAAACCCCAAACCCTAAACCCCAAACCCTAAACCCTAAACCCTAACCGTTTATATTCCCTAAGGTCGAGTCCCCTGCCCTGTAGTGGAGGCAACAGCCGAGTCTCTGAGTGCGGCCGACCTGGAAGACGTGAAGCACGAACCTTGGCTGAAGATTGTGGAGGCAAAAAGGGTTTAAAGAGAAGGATTTATGACGGGGGTTTAGGGTTTAAGGGGTTTAGTGTTTGGGTTAGGGTTTAGGGTTTAGGGTTTCGGGTTTCGGGTTTCGGGTTTAGGGTTTGCTGTAATAGGGCGTAGATGCTGTGAAGGTTAGGATGCAGCAGCGGCTCGAATGCCTCGTCAGGTGCGAAGAGCAGCTCTGGCCCGATTGTGGAGGGCCATCTAATGCTTTTCTCCCACCCCACGCCGTCCGAGGCGGCAAAACCACCCAAACTTATTCCTTTTAGGGTTTAGGCCTAAACTCATGACAATCGCTTACTTTTACCTTTCCGTCACCGACGGCCAATTCAGCCAAAGGTTTGAGGCTCGTTTGTAGCACGCCAGAGCCAGGGAGGGCCAGGAGGGAGGGCCAGCAGGACGGGCAGGGGGGTCAGGAGGGCCACAAAGGTCAGGAGACCCAGGAAACGCCAGGGCACCACTTTTTGAGCACCCACCCTGCCTGGACCAGCCTGGCCCCCTGGTCCCTGGGCACGCTACCCCGAGGGGTCCGGCTCCTCAAACTGCCAGCGGGTTTAGGGTAATTACCTTATTAAGGGGACCAGCACGGTACAAGCGCCGCCCCCTCTTTTCAGGGGGGCGGCCTCGGCCCTGAGTTTAGGGTTTAGGGTTTCAGAGCCTGCAGAACTCTCAGGATCCACATCCATAGAACCCCCAAACACGCTCAAAACCCCCCACGTTTGCAGCAGTTGAGAAGGTCTCTGTGTGTTTTTTGTTTCGCCTCGTAGGGTTTACGGCGGCTCTGGGCTTTTCAAGGGTTCAGAGCCCTCTGAACCCTTTGTGAAGCCCTGAACACTCTTCCCGGCCCAGGATCTGGTCCAGCTCTATGAGGCCATGTGTGAGAGCTTGAGAGGGCTTGGGGTTTAGGGTTTGGGGTGTAGTTTAGCGTTTGGGGTTTGGGTTTAGGGTGCGCGCGCATAGGGTTTGGGCGGGAGCATTTCGGCTTGCAGTCTTGACTATGTGACGATATCAGGACCTGGCATATGGGTCGGTTCGTACCTTTTTTGTACATAAGACACGAGACCAAGCTTTTTTATACATGCATGTCGACGGGGGGTTTGGGTGGGTCAATTCGATGTGGATGGGGGCGTTTACATGTCGGGTGTATCCCAAACGCTATAGGCTACGGACACCGGCGTACTTGGTAGCTTTGGCATTCGAGAGGTATCGCTGTCCAAATATCTGCAGAAGTCAGCATCCAGGGGCCAAACTTAAGCCGTATCCCTCTGCAAGATTACAAAGAAGAACCTAGACAGATAGGGTTATACAACAGGCCACGTGCGAGGAGCATATGAAAGGCCACCCCCCTTTGAGGCACCCGTCCTCGTTAGTCCCAAACCCTAGACCCTAAACCCTGAACCCTAAACCCCAAACCCCAAACCCTAAGCCCTAAACCCTAAACCCTAAACCCTGAACCCGAGGTGGTGCCCGTGCCTGGAGATGCCTTGGACTTCTTTGCGCCCAGCCCTCTGGCCATCCTGCAGGAGGGTTGGGGGGGGGGGGGGGGGGGCTTTCCTTTGGGGACCGAATGAAGGCTAGAAGGGTTTAGGACTCACATCTTTTGAAAGGGTCTTCAGTAGCAAAGGGATCTCAGGTTTACAGGTTCGGGGTATAAAGTGTTGCTCCAGGGCATGGCTACTGCTGGAAGTTCTGACCGGCCTGCTTCTGGAAGACAGGGACAGTAGAGAGCCCGTCTTTCGCAATTTTGAGTTATGTCGGGAAGGGCCCAAAAATCAGCAAGCAAGAAGCTTACATCAACCATAAACCCTAAACCCTGAACCCCAAACCCCAAACCCTAAACCCTAAACCCTGTTTCTTTGCAGTGAGCACTGCCTTCAGCAGATGCCATGTCGATCTGGAGCCTGCCCTGCATTGTAGCCACAGTCTGCTCAAACCACCAAATGAACCCTCAGAGGGTGTGTTTTATGGTTCATATACCTTAATAGAGGTAGTAGTGGTGGTAGTAGTAGTAGTTGTTGTTGTTGTAGTATATGAGGTATATTTGACCCCAATTTGAAAGTTCATTTGGGTGGCTGTCAACAGGGATCCCAAAATGGACCATAGTTTTCACAACCACCCATTTGGGAAGCCCAAGAGCTAAACCCTAAACCCTAAACCCTAAACCCTAAGAGCTTCTTTGCTCTTCAGGAGCTCCGGCACATCCCCTTCGTGCTGGCCCGGGCAGCAGCCCAGAAGCCAGAGCAAGCAAGGCCCTGCATGGATTTTACATGGTTTAGGGTTTAGGGTTTAGGGTTTAGGGTTCAGGGTTCAGGGTTCAGGGTTCAGGGTTCAAGGTTTAGGGTATTTTGAGCTCAGAGCTTCTCCGCAGGTTGTGTGGTTTTGCAAGGAGGGTTGCGGGGTAAAACGGTTTAGGGTTTAGGGGTTAGCGGTGTTTTTGCGGGGGTCCTAAACCCTAAACCCTAAACGGGCTACTGTTTTATGAGCGGGCAGGCTCAGCCTGTTTGCGGCACATAGGGTTCTCGGATCAAGGCCTCATCCTACTCTGGAAGCCTTTGAATCCTGCAGGCCCTTTAAAAAGCCTATAAACCCTATAAAACCCTAGAAATCCTATAAAACCCTATGAAGTCCTATAAAACCATATAAAGTCCTATAAACCCTAATCCTGTAAACCCTTTAAATCCAAAACAAACCTAAAAACCCGATAAGCCCTAATCTTTCTTGAGGCTGGTCCTTGTCCGGCCGCCCGAGGCTATTCGCAGCTTCATGCCGGAGGCAGAGTGGGGACTGAAGCCAACAACGCTCCGAAAGCTTAGTGGGGTTTAGGGTTTGGGGTCTGGGGTTTAGGGTTTAGGCTGTAGGGCTCCGACACACAATTTTTAGGCCCCACTAGGCAGCATGGCCTTTGGTCGCCTCTGTCTCTGTCCGTCTGCCTGTCTGGCTGTCTGTGTGTGTGTGTGTATGTTCATGTGTTCTAAGCCACGTAAGCTCAAAGGTTAAGGAGGTCATTCTCCATTCGAGCGTTGGGGGTCCCTGTCACCGAAGGCCCCCCCTCCCCAGCCCGCGCAGCATACCTGCAGGTTAAGGTGGTCGTTATCCTCACCTCATTCAACATTCATGTTCACCTTCACCCATCGTCATCATCAGCAGGATCATGTACCACATCTTCATGCACCAAGACAACACCCCACCCATTTCACGGGGGCTTAAGAACACCCGCCCAAACCTTTGCACCTTAAGGAACCCTAAACCCCAAACCCTAAACCCCAAACCCTAAACCCTAAACCCTAAACCCCGAAACCCTAAACCCTAAACCCTAAACCCCTAAACCCCTAAACCCTAAACCCCGAAAACCCTTGCACCTTAAGGCCTTTCAGCTCGATCCACCTCGCAACACAAGGGGTGGAGAGCAAGGGGGCGGGGAGGGGGTGGCCGACTATGCTGCTTACTAATTGCTCAAGAACCCCCCCAAAAAAGGAAAATATTCTTCCTTATAAGGGCAATATAGGGGACATTATCTCTTTTTTTTTCGGGGGGGGGGGGGGGGGGGGGGGGGGGGGGGGGGGTGGTTCTTAAGCGAGTAGTGCCTGGAAGAGCTGTATGAAACCTCTTTAGGGACCGCGACATGCACTTTGAGAAACTCCTTTCGCAAAGAAGGCGCAAGGCTTCTCTCGGTTTCTGGGCCCTGAATCCTCTGAAAGCTAGGGGTGCAAATACTACGACTTGGGATGTTCCCCCTTTTTCTAACAGTCCGCAGTAGGGATTATAATAGGGGTACTATAATCCTTATTAAGGACTGTTGGAGAAATGGGGAACATCCCAAACTCCGACCCTGAAGCCCCTGAAGCGTGCAAGGTGCCCAGTGAGTGGGCTGACAGAGTTTCGCTGCTGGAGCCACTGCTGAACGAAGCAGGATACTTCGTATCCTGGCCTGCCTTCAGGGTTCAAGAGGCTTAGGCTTAGTGGGGGGGGGGGGGGGGGAAGGTTTGAGTTCACGATGCAGGAGAATTGAGTGAGCTCTTGCTTTTTGGGGCGAGTTGGGGGTTTTTGTGTTCCGTTCGGCAAGCCATAGAAATTGTGACGTGGCGGGACTCCCCCGAACCTTTCGTACAGTTAAAAGTGGACAGTTAAAAGTTGCCGGCTCATGGTTTCGGGGTGCCGAGTTGGAATGCAGACTCTGCTGGTGCGTTTGGTTTGGCTGTCTTTTTGTGTTCTGTGCTTCCTGTGATCACCGGCCTGCAGTACTTTGATAACAATTTGAGTCATAATGCGAGATCGGGGCTGCCAAGGACCCCGACCGCCCAGCAGCCACCAAGCCCAAGAACTGCTCATGAACCACAATTCATTCATTTCGCTTCTCATACCTCCTCAGGTTGAGCCCGAGCATAAGCACCCTAGAATCCATAAGCACCTAGAACTCGTAAAAGCCTCAAAACCCTGCTGGCCCACAGCCTCCCGAGCGTGCGTAGGCCTCTGCAAGCCAGGGGTCTGTTTACGAGGCTCTAAAACAGCAGAGCTGTTTTCTTTAGGAAGATTCCTTAGTGGCCCGGACGGACCAAAAACTCTTGATTCCTGTACCTCTCTGGTTCAACATGTTCAACAGCCAGAGCGAAAGTTCCTGAATGCTTGAACCCTCAAACCCTAAACCCTAAACCCTAAACCCCTCAAACTCAGATGGAGATGGACGTGATCTCGAGTCGCCTGGCAGATGCGCTGCACATCCCCCCGCTGAACAGCAACGTGGGCGTGTCTCAAAGCGGTAGCTTCTCCCCCGCCGGGCGTGTTTCGGTCTTTGGGCGTTGATGCTGGACCTGGGGTGACTAAACCCCTAAACCCTAAACCCTAAACCCTAAACTCTCCCACGCATTCGGCATCACCGAGGCGCTTGCCCCTCAAATTCCAAAGCCCAAGCCTTTGAGGCTCGGAAGCTGTAGACTTCCCTGAAACCATCTCAGCTTCGGTGAGGTGCCCCGTAGGGGCAGTGCTGCCCGAAAGCACTTCCAAGCAAAAGCCTAAACCCTAAACCCTAAACCCTAAACCCTAAACCCTAAACCCTAAACCCTAAACCCTAAGTGCTGTGGGGAGAGGTTCTCAATCCCTTGCGCTCAGGTGGCCCTGGAGTGCATGGCGCCCTTCAAACGGCTGGCCTGTCGACCCCTTTCGGACACCTGGGCTTCGGATTGAAACCCTAAACCCTAAACCCTAAACCCTAAACCCTAAACCCTAAACCCTAAACCCCAGAGAGATGCTCCGTAGCCGAAGCAGGAATGTGCTGTTTGTGTGTCTGATGTGACGGGACCTCCTGTCCCCTCCTCGGCCCCAAAAAACCCTTCGATTGGGTGAAGGGGGCTGTCAGAGACCAGCTAGCTTCTTAGGATTTAGGGTTAAGGGTTTATCCGACACCGATGCCTTGGGGATTGAAGGTTTTTTTTGGTCTTCGAGGTCCGCAGTTGGGCAAAAGTTGGGCATTTTCAAAAATAGATGCTTCATCAAGCTGGCTTGAGGTGGGAGGGGAGATGGGCTGGGGCTCTTGTTGATTCTAGCTGTTCGGGCTTGTGGCGAGCCCTGTCCTCACAAGAATGCATGTCGGAGGCAGCACTTCTGTGGTTGTAGTGGTCCTATTGAATTCTGCACGCAGAGAAGGCCATGGGTTGGAGACCCCTTGCTGTCGGTCCATAATCTTGTTTCAAGGGGACCAGAAAGTCGTAGATGGTGCGGCCTGCGTACGTTGTTCTTGCAGTGCTGCTTCAACCTAAACCCATTTGGAGGTTCATGGCCCTAAACCCCAAACCCCAAACCCCAAACCCTAAACTGTACTTACAACTGTACTTATAGCCACATTAGGGCGCCCAAGGGCCTTATAAGTGGGTTATAAGTACAGTTATCATTGGTTAGTAAGTACCATGAACCTCCAGGCAAGCCTTAAGCATAAACTTTTCCGTGTTAGGCGTAGATCTTCGATTCAAAGCAACCTTCCCTTCCTCAATTTAACAGAAAAACTGCCCACGCCACAAACTTCGACGTACCCATGATCCTGGAATTCGAGACCTAAACCCTAAACCCTAAACCCTAAACCCTAAACCCTAAACCCTAAACCCTAAACCCCCAAGCTGAAAATCCCCAAGCAGGATGGAGACCTCGAGCAGCTTCACCTGCTGCTTCTGATCATCTCCGCAGACACGTCCCCGCCCTTAGCTCGCCTTGCACGCCTGCCGATTCCTTGCGAGATTTGGAATTAGGGTTTAGGGTTTAGGGTTTCGAGTTTAGGATTTAGGGTTTAGAGGCTTCAGGGTTTTCGAGGCTTGTCGGGATGGGGTATAATTGGGGTTGAGGCTTTGAGCCCCATGGTTCTCTAGGAGAACCAGCAGAAAGCCACCAGGAATTTCGCATTTGACTGTGCGTGTTCGGCTTCAAAAAAGCGGCGGGGGGGGTCGATGGGGGGCGCAGCCCCCCTAGCCCGACCGGCTGGCCACCTTACTTTGTCTCGGCTCCTTCGGGCCGTGCCACCCCTGGCATCCTTGTAGACTTGCAGCACTTGCTCAGCTCTTTTCGGGTTTGTTGTGCACGTTCTGCCGTGAAAACATGGCAGACGCACCGAGTGTGCCCAAGAGCGCCGGGGTTGCTGCCTTTGCGCACATCTGTCTCATTTTCGGCTACTTGTTCTTCAGCGTCTCTTGCACGTCCTGCAAAAGAGTCGGAGCTGTCCCTTACAAGCTGGCGGTGAACCAAGCTGCCTTGCGGATTGTTCTGCCTGCAGCAGCTGCGGACAGTTGTCCGAAAAGCGCGCGTAGGTTTCACTCGACCGGTTGAGATTCGGCTCCCGGAGCCCAACAAGGGCCAGCGACGCCCCTCAGCATCAGCGACTTCTTTTGCCTCCTTGTTCGCAGTCGTTGTCGTTGGCTGTCGCGTCGTATGCTCATGATGCTCGCGGACTGGGTTGTGGCAGAGCCTGCGTGCTGTGTTTAAAGCTTCGCGCAAACGTAAGGTTTTCTCAGCTACGCGGCTGCAGTCGTCACATGTTGAATGGCAGGACTGCAGTTTGGCGAGTAAGAAACCGGAAGCTGCGCTGCGCTGTGCTTTTGGCTTGCTGCCTTTTACATAAAGCCTACACCCGAAACCCTAAACCCTAAACCCTAAACCCTAAGGATCCTAAACCGTCCCCCAAACCACTTGCAAGGCGCTTTCTTGGCTTCCTTGAATTTGAAAGGCTCCTGGCCTCCACCTTTGGGTGGTGCCAGGGCTCCCAGGGCTTTCACTTAGTTTAGGGTTTAGGGTTTAGGGTTTAGGGTTTAGGGTTTAGGGTTTAGGGTTTAGGGTTTAGGGTTTAGGGTTTAGGGTTTAGGGTGTTTAGGAAGACAGATATTTCCGCCTAAAGGGCTCTCGAATCAAGTTCCAAAACCCAACAACGCAACCTTTGAGCCTAAGGTTGACTTTGTTGAGCTCAGGCAGGTTTTGGGGGTTATGGGGCGTAGGGTTTAGGGTTTAGGGGTTTAGGGTTTAGGGTTTAGGGTTAGGGTTTAGGGTACGTATTTGGGGGCCAGTGAACCCGCAAGCCCGAAACGATCAAAAGGATCGTCCCCACGGAGTCGGGCCACCTTGTCATCCCTGACGCTGGGATCCATTCGGTATCGTTTTCTATGAGCATGCACGGCTTTGAAGTGTATTCAAGTGTAGATCGAGTGCAAGTCCTCTTTTTTAGCTTCTAGGGGGCTTATAAGCTCGTCAAACCCTAAACCCTAAACCCTAAACCCTAAACCCTAAACCCTAAACCCTAAACCCTAAACCCTAAACCCTAAACCCTAAACCCTAAACCCTAAACCCTAAAAACCCTAAACCCTAAACCCTAAACCCTAAACCTAAACACCCTCTGAGGAGAACGAGAACGTGTACAACGTTGGGGTCGGTTTCCAAGGCGTGATCCCGGGGGCCAAGACGCTGAGCTCGCGCTTCGCAGCGCTGATGCACCAGCGTGTCGCAGCTCGACTTTAACAGCCCTAAACGCTAAACCCTAAACCCTAAACCCTAAACCCCGGAACCGCAATCCTTAAGGAGCCGGCAGCTGTTTCCTTCAAGGGTTTGGGGAAGAGGGCAAGTTCTCCGAAGAAATCCCCTTGTCTCGGCTTGAGGCTTAAGTTGTCATCCCTTCCGTGGCTGGGTGCGGTGTTGGAGTTTCAGGTTGGAAGGTGCAGAACTCCAAGCATCCCTGACCAGTATGGTTTAGGGTTTAGGGTTTAGGGTTCTGGGTCTTGAGGGGCTTGAGATTCGGGTGTGGGCTTGGGGTTTTGGGTTTAGGGATTCTGGGGCCATGGCTGTTTGTTTGGGATGTAGGGTACAAGCCCTGGCCATGTTGCCCCCAAGGACCGCTCGAATGCCCCTGTCTGCGATTCCTTAAGCTCCCTTGCTCCCTTGCCAACGCCAAACACCCTAAACCCTAAACCCTAAACTCTAAACCCTAAACCCTAAACCCCAAACATTCGAGCTGCAAGAGTCCTTTTCCCAACCGAGCCTTCCCTAGCTTACCCTAGCTTACCCTAAACCCTAAACCCTAAACCCTAAACCCTAAACCCTCGCTTACCCTTCTGAGGCCGGGCTCCTTCATCGTGTGGGTGTGGAGCACGCTGAGGGCCTTCAGTTCTTCAAGCAGGCTCCCGGGAGTTGAGAGCTTGAGTTTTTTTTTGGGGGGGGCGGGGGGGGGGGGGGGGGGGGGGGGGGGGCGGAGTTTTGGGGGGGAGTTTTGGGACTCAGTGTTTTTTTTTTTTGGGGGGGGGGGGGGGGATGTTTTGGGGGGAGTTTTGGGACTCAGGAGTGCTTTGCACAGACTTAGAGGGATGCAGGAGCGGGCGCAAGGTCGCTGTAGGATGGTGGGGCTAGAGGGGGCCGGGGGGGGGGGGGGATCCGAGCTGCCCGATTCACGGGGCACCAAGAAAACTCCAAAGGGCACAGACGCAACGACGGTTCTGCACTTCACGCATGTCCCTGCCACGTCGCGACATGCCGCGAGGCATGTCTCAAAAAGTGCATGGGTCCTTAGTTTCAACACAGAAGGGGTCGACGTCATGAGCCCTCAACCGAACCACACACACTACAACGAAGGATAACATGTTGGTGGGAATATTAGGTTTAGGGTGTCTTACCACCAAACTGGCCCCCACTCCCCTTGGTCTTGAAGAAGTGGTCTTACAATGTTGAGGGTCTACGCCGGCAGAAGATTCCCCCGAATCCTCAGCAGCCTGAATGACCCAAGCAGGCGCACAAGACTTCACAAAGGGTTGACAGCAGTAGGACACTCAAATCGGTGCCTTCGCAGGTGCTGGTGCCCTTCCTGACCAGCGCCACTCAGCCGGGCGTGGAGGATTTGAGGGCCCGAGGGCCAATGTAGCGTGAGTCGGTTGGCGGGTATAGGTTCCCTTTGCGGTAGCTTACGGCAGGTCTCAACCCCCGAGCAGCTCCGGAACTGGCCAATTTCTGGCGTACCACACCATGAAGCTCCCGCGCAGGAGCTCCTTCAGTGCACGCACGCGGCGCGGCGCTTCTTGCAATCCTCTGAGCCCCTGGCCGGCCTAGTGAGCTTCGTGGGAGGACGCCCGCAACTCCAACACCAGGAAGATTGGGGTTTGGGATTTAGGAAGTGGGGCTTAAGGCTTCAATCTTGACTCAACCCCTCAGCCCTAGAGGCACCCCAATTGCCAGAAGCCCTGAACCTTGTTTGGGTTTCGGATATGTTTCGATTCCAGCGTTAAAGCAAGATCACAAGAGTTCAGCCGGGGCTAGAGGCTCGGACACTGGGCCAGACAGCCAAGGCATGTGGAGGACCTCACCCCACACCTCCGCAGTGGCATGTGGGCATCTGGGATGCAGGGCTGTCAGTTAACCCCTGAGCCATAAAGGGCATTTGGGGGTTTACAGGGGTTGAGAGGCTGCTGACGGGTTTTGAGTATTTTGCCCAGGGGGGTTGCGAAGGAGGCAAGAGCTGTAGAGGTGGCAGCGTTTGACAAGTCGGGTTGAGGTTGGTTTAGGGTTTAGGGTTTAGGGTTTAGGGTTTAGGGTTTAGGGTTTAGGGTTTAGGGTTTAGGGTTTAGGGTTTCATAGTTCCAAGTCTATGGAAGCTCCAGCCTCGTCGGTTTTGCTCACATGGCATCTTCCGGTTCAGGAATCAAAGTTGATGGTGCGACTGTGCCCACGCAAACCCTCAACCCTATAGACCCTATAAACCCTCTGAACCCTATAAACCCCAAACCCTAAACCCTAAACCCGAAACTAAACCCTAAAACCTCTAGACCCATAAACCCTAAAAAACCCTCTAATCCCCAACCCTAAAAACCCTGAAAACCCTGAAAAACCTAAAGCCCTACAACCCTAAAACCCTCTAAACCCCCAACCCTAAACCCCAAAAACCCAGACAAGGTGGCCTCAGACTGCCAGACGCGTGACTCCTTGGAGACGAGGAGCGTGTGCTGGTGCAGCCCACAGAGTCTTGGCCATCGACTGGCCCTAAACCCTAAGCCCTAAGCCCTAAACCCTAAACCCTAAACCCTAAAACCCTAAACCCTAAACCCTAAAACCCTAAACCCTAAACCCTAAACCCTAAACCCTAAACTTTCCTAAACCCTAAACCTTTGTGTCATGTTGTTCTTGGGCTCCGTGAGCTTTGCACCCCCTCCCCCGAAATTGAGCCCTAAGTCTCAAAGGCCTCGAGCCCCCGAGATTTCTGGAGCCATCCCAGACTCCAAGCAACAAGCTCCCTAGTACAGTACCGGTTAAGGGTTAAGGGTTAAGGGTTTAGGGTTTAGGGTTTAGGGTTTAGGGTTTAGGGCCTAGTACAGTACCGGGTACTACGTCACACACTTGTTCACTCCCAGAGCCCAGGAACCCGCTTCACCTTGCGCCCCTGCCCGAGAGCTTGCGGCTCCCTGGCTTAAAAGGGGGGGGGGGGGGCCTCTAGGGTTTAGGGTTTAGGGTTTAGGGTTTAGGGTTTAGGGTTTAGGGTTTAGGGTTTAGGGTTTACTTCGAAAGGCGGAACTTGGTATGATTCCCCCTAACACGAACAGCCCTCACTAGGGGATGATCATCGGGGGTACGAGAATCCCTGTCAGTCAAGTGTAAGGGTGTGTTCAGAGGACCCCCCAAGAGGTCCTAAGCCCCCGAGGTCAGGAGTTCAGGAGTTCAGGAGCTTAGGGTTTTCAGGAGTTCAGGAGTTCAGGAGTTCAGGGTTTTCAGGAGTTCAGGGTTTTCAGGAGGTCGTGAGCCCCCAAGCCCCGGGGTTTTCACTTGGAATCGGCTTTGCAAGAACTGGAGGGCTGCTGGTTCGACGTTTATCTCCTCGCCGAAAGCTTGCTCTCTCTTTGCCCCTCTGGCCTCTTGAGGAAAGTGTACCCGCAGAAGTGGCTTTATGCAACTTGGCCAAGAAAGCGAAGCCCTAAACCCTAAACCCTAAACCCTAAACTACCCCCAGAAGTGGCTTTATGCAACTTGGCCAAGAAAGCGAAGTTCCGGAAGGTTCCGCAGCCGGATGCGTGCTAGCAGGCTTCGGGGCTCGAGGGGCTCAGGGCCCTTCAAACACATACATCCTTGTGGACCAAATGAATCCTAGAATTGGGGTAATATACCCAGATCTTCTAAACACCCCTTAATTAAGGTATATACCCTATTTCATAATCAGGATCCTTAGTACAAATTAGGGTATATACCTTAATTAAGGGGTTTTGGAAGATCTGGGTACCCCTATACGGCTGTAACCCCTAGTAAGGTATGTGAACCAGAAACCCTTTTGCGGTTCATCTGGTCCCCAAGGATCGCCCCCTGGCATCTCCAGGGCCTCATCTTTGAACCCTAAACCCTAAACCCTCAACCCTCAACCCTAAACCCTAAACCCCAAACCCTAAACCCTAAACCCTCATCTTTGTGAAGCTCAGGTCTCCAGCGCTTACCTCCAGAGCGATGCCGAGATTCCAAGCTGGCAGAAGTTCTGGACCAACCCTCAGGGTTTGGGGCTTAGGGTTTAGGGTTTAGGGTGAGAATTTAGAGAATCTAGGTTGGGATGTTCCCCTGTTATACTAGCAGACCTTAGTTGGGATTACAATCGGGGTACTAAAATTCCTGTTAAGGACTGTTGGTATAAGGGCGGAACATCCCAAAATCCAGGGCTTCTAGAGCTGCACCGTACATCGCTTACAGCCACAATCCTTGGAACCAAAGTTAACCTCCATAAACCCCTTTTAGGTGTCCCAACATGTACGCCTTTTCTAGAAAGATCCAAGCAAGCTTGAGCCGTCCGCCCTCAACCTGAACGCGGCAGGACATCCCTCGGGGTGTGGCCCGCCTTCGCGGTAGCAGACGGCCAGAGCCAGGAGGGGCGTGGAGATTTGGACCCTAACAGCCAATCTAGAGTCGGAAGAATTGCTAATATGATTCCCTTAGGGTCCCTTTATAATTATGCTACAAGAACCCCCACAAACCCTATCCTAACTATTCAGGCCCCCAAAGTAGAGCCGGACCCAGCTTTTCAGCTAAATGTTCAAGTAAGGTCCCGGGGTGTGTCTTTGGCATGTTCCGAGAGCTGCCTAAGCCTTTTAGGGTTTAGGGTTTAGGGTTTAGGGTTTAGGGTTTAGGGTTTAGGGTTTAGGGTTTAGGGTTTAGGGTTTAGGGTTTAGGGTTTAGGGTCTCAATGCCTTCTGGAAGCCCTCAACACACCAGGAGCTCACTGCACTTCTCCGCGCTCTCTCCAGCGCCACCGACAGCAGCTCGGTTTCAAGGATTCCTCTCCCTGTGAGGAGACGACTATTTGCTTAAGAACCCCCCAAATCCAGCCATACAAGGAAGAATAATTTTGGGGCAGGTCTTAAGCAAGTAGTAGAAGATGGTGAAAGTGACGAAGAGAGCCAAAACGACCCCAAAAGGCACGGTCAAAACGCCACCAGACTCTGCGAAGGCATCAACAATGGCCTCGCAAACTAAGCGTTGCAAAGCTGACTCAATCCTCACAAAACCCTAAACCCTAAACGCTAAACCCTAAACCCTAAACCCTAAACTCAATCAAGCCAAGCCCGCTGGAAATCCCCCCCCTGAAGACTGAAAAGCCCAGGCGGGGCAGTGGCTGTGTCCTTGGTCTCCTTCCTCGCCCCCCACGGTGAGCTCTATACGCCCTACTTGCAGGCGTCCGGGCGTGTTCAATCAAGGGAGGAGGGGGGGGTTTGAGGAATTTGGGGTTTGGAGTTGCGGCTTTAGGGTCGGCAAGCCGCGGCAGAGCTGGACGCAATCTTAGGATTCTTAACTGAAAGCTCTTCAGTGGGTCTTCCGTTCTATTGGCTGGGCTGCCCTGCAGAACCTTGGGTTTTGGGGTTGTAAGCGTCAGGGTTGAGGACTTCCCCGAAACATTCCAGGGCCACGGAACCCCCAAACCCTAAACCCTAAACCCTTGAAGCCTTGGGCTGCAGCCGCATGGCTGTCAGGCGGGAGACGGTGGCAGCGACAGAGAAGGCGCAGCGACTCACTCGGTACCTGGGCTGCTATGTTAGAGCCACCAGCAGATTCCTAACCTTTTCACACCCTCACCAAACCCTGTAGAAACAACAGCTCAACTCCCCCTCCCCCACCCACCCACACATTTGAATCAGGTTGGCTTTTGGGATATGATTTATGTTTTCCTTCATTTGGGTTTTATAAGGGGCCTACATAATAAACATTTTTCAAAAAGGGTCGAGAGGCCAACCCCCTCGTTCTTAGTAGGGAATGTGGGAATGAGGGAATGAGGGAATGAGGGCCCTATATATACCCTTTACGGGAATTATAGAGGGCCCTCATTCCCTCATTCCCAAACCCTAAACCCGAAACCCTAAACCCTAAACCAACCCTAAACCTAAACCCTAAACCCTGAACCCTGAACCCTGAACCCTGAACCCTGAACCCTTCCTAGTGGAAAGACCTTTCCGAGGTCCGCCAGCTGCTGGAGTCCAGGCCCTGGCTGCCCACCCGAGGCGGCGAGCTGGTGAGAGTCCAAGACTCCTGGACAGCTGCCACTGAGTCGGAGGGTTTAGGGTTGAGGGTTGAAGGTTTATGGGTGTAGGGTTTAGGTTTAGGGTTTAGGGTTTAGGGTTTATAAGGTTTATAAGGTTTATAAGGTTTATAAGGTTTATAAGGTTTATAAGGTTTATAAGGTTTATAAGGTTTATAAGGTTTATGAGGTTTATGAGGTTTATGAGGTTTAGGGTTTAGGGTTTGGGGTTTAGACTTGTAATTAGAGCTGGTAGAGCTTCTGGCGGGGTTGACTTCACATGACAAAGTGTGAAAAAAGCAGAAGCAAGCTCGTCGTGTCTTTCTTCTCTTAGTTTGAGGGCTGCAAGAATTGCATGGCCGATCATTGCTGATCTGGGTTTGCGCTGAGCACACTCGTAGGTCTCTTTCCCATGTTTGCCTGTTATTTCGCTTTTAGAAGTGCAGGATACCGGCGGCCAACCCGCTTCCCTTGGAGGAGCTGCGAGTTGCGACCCAAAATAGGGTTTAAGGTTTAGGGTTTACGGTTTAGGGCTTATAGTGGCCTTTTGGCCTTCTGTGGGGCGTTTGGGCCCTTTTCTTGCTTCGGTGCATGGTGTGCCTCCCTAAGAGCCTGAGCCTCAGGTATACCCGAAAAGCCTTGCCTTGACGGTGTTTGCCGTAGGCCGCTTGTGTTTGAGGCGTACGTCGGGGCTTTGGGCTTATAATAGGGGATGTTCAGGAAACCCTAAACCCTAAACCCTAAATCAGGTTTTGAGAGAATTTTAATAAAGCATCTCAAGGAATTAGTCTAAATTCCACCTTCTCGTTTCTGGTCCCCGCAGTGCCGCCCTTAATCCTTCGCTCCTTGCGGAGGAGCCCTTTGCCTTCGCGCCCGTGGTGGCCGAGCTGAAGAAGACATGGACTGCTCTCAGCTTCAAGGCTGGCGGAGAGCAGCAGAGCAACCTCTTTAAGGGATGCCATAAAAGGGTCTGTTCGCGGGCTAAAGGTAAGGCTCTCAAGGCTAAGCCCTACATGTCAAAATTCATCGCAGATGCCCTGTTACCTCAACCCCCAACATCGAAACCCCAGTCAGAGGAACTAGGATTTCCATGGAAGAGAGCCTAGGATTTCCATGGAAGAGAGCCTCGGAAACTATTTGTTGATGACGCCATAGCCCGCAGAGCCATGTAGCCTCAACTCTTCCACATGAGAACCTGAAGCCGAATAGGCCTTGCTGAACAAGCCCCCACTGTACTGAAGCCTCCAATCGAAGGCTCTTCTACCATATTTGCTTAAGAACCCCTTAAAACCTGAAAGAGAATAATCCCTATATGCCCTTATAAGGAAGAATGTTTTTTGCTTTTTGTGGTTCTTAAGCAGCTAGTAGTCTAGGACTCCAGGACCTGAGGTTCTAATTTTTCCAGAATGCAATTGTTTTGGAGGCCGCAGCCTCACCCCGAAACCTGGTGGCCATCATCCGCAAGCAGGTCTCCGGCACTGGGACGTCGGGCTTAGGCTTAGGCTTAGGCTGTTAATTTTAGGCCTATAGGAAGCGCATAAGTTTCAGAAGAAGAGTTCAGGGTTTAGGTTTTTGGGTTTCGGGTTTGGGATGTGTTTGTGCGGTGATACACGGCCTGCGCGCCGTTGTCATTCGTGGCCTGCCTCGGCACGCCCTCCTTCAGCCGTCAGGCCCCCGAGTTTGCAGATGCGCCGTGCCGGTGCCGCGGGTCTTTGAGGGTTTAGGGTTTAGGGTTTAGGGTTGAAGGCCCGGCATCAAGCGAAAATCACGCTTGTGGCTCACGAGTCACTCCTGCGGAGCCAATGTTGCCATGTACGTGTTTGAAACCCGCCCGGCACGCCCGTCTGCTTAAAGTCGCTCCGTGCCACTTCGTCTTTCCTTCGTTCTCGATTGAATTCGGTAGCATTCGTTCAGCGTTTCCGTCACCTTTACATTGCGCCCTCGCCATTCCTGCACAGACTCAACTCTAAGACTTGCATTCAACCCGACCGAAAAGAATGAAAGTTTCTGTGTGAGTTTAATGAGCTCCCCTGTCGGACTGAGACCTCACTCGTGACACTTTCCGGCTTCCTGCTGCGGTTTCTAGGCTGTAGGGTTTATAGGGTCTACAGGGTTTATAGGGTTTGTAGGGTTTATGGGGTTTATAGGGTTTGTAGGGTTTATAGGGTTTATATAGGGTTTATAGGGTTTATATAGGGTTTATAGGGTTTGTAGGGTTTGTAGGGTTTATAGGGTTTATAGGGTTTATAGGGTTTATAGGGTTTATAGGGTTTATAGGGTTTATAGGGTTTATAGGGTTGCCCAAACTCCAAACGTTCATTTGGCAGGCAGCGGCCCGGAGGCAGCATAGCGTTCACGAGTGGAGGCAGCCACCCAACTTGACTTGAAGGGTAAACCCTAAACCCTAAACCCTAAACCCTAAACCCTAAACCCTAAACCCTAAACCCTAAACCCTAAACCCTAAACCCTAAACCTCAGCTTTGGCTCGCGTTGCCTGAACTTCAGGGGGGCTGGGTACGTAGGTTCGGCCCTTGGGATGTTATTATTATCATCATTCTCCTTCTTTTTCTTTTCTTGTATTTTTGTTATTATTATTCTTGGTAAGGTTATCATCATTCGTATAATTTTTATTTATTTTCCATTGCTGGGTTTAAGAGGACCATATTTAGGAATATTCAAGGGCCATCCTAAGTTCGTGCTGCCTGTTTTGGGGCAAGACAGGAAAGAGTTGGAGGAGGGCAATTATCAGGGAGCTTTGCGCACAGAACCCGAATCTCTAAACCCTAAACCCTAATCTCTCTAAACCCTAAACCCTAAACTCTAAACCCTAAACCCTAAACTCTAAACCGAATCACTTCTTGCCTACTAGCCTATAGAACTACGTGCTTGCATGGGAGGGCCCAAGGAGCTCGATCAACTCCCAAGCACCCGAAGAAAGAACAACGCTCGGGAGTCCGGGATCCTGAAGCTCTCTGGGGCTTTTCTGGGTTTGGGGTTTAGGGTTTAGGGATAAGGGTTTAGGGTATAGGTTTAGGGTTGAGGGTTTAGGGTTTGGGGTTTAGGGTCTAGGTTCTCAGCCGCCACAGACCCCGATTCCTCTGCCTGAGGCTCTGAAATCCCCAACCCTGAAACTTGAAGTGCTGAAACCAGGAAAAGAACAACCCTAAGCACGAGCCTCACTCCGAACTTTCAGCCGCCAGAAATTCCCCAAGCCCCGAAAAAGGGGGAAACCCTAAACCCTAAACCCGAAACCCTAAACCCTAAACCCTAAACCCTAAACCCTAAACCCTAAACCCTAAACCCTAAACCCTAAACCCTAAACCCTAAACCCTAAACCCCATTCCGTCGGCAGGTGCCTCTACGGACGTCTGATGCAGGTCTTGGACTTCACCGGGTCCGATGTGGAGAGCCAGGAGGCCCTGGACTTCCTTCGCACCTCGAGGCGTCTTTGCTTTAGGGTTTAGGGTTTAGGGTTTAGGGTCTAGGGTTTAGGGATTAGGGATTCGGGTTTAGGGTTTAGGGTGTGTGGTGTAGGGTTTAGGGTTTGGGGTTTAGGGTTTGGGGTTTGGGGTTTGGGGTTTGGGGGGGTGGTGTGGGGTGGGGGGAATCCGGTTACAGGATGTTATAGGGCTTGGGGCTGGTGACGGTTCGCGGCCACGGGGGGGTGGTCAAGTGTTGAGTAGGCTTCGGGTTTGAGTGCGGCTTGAGGCTTGCAGTTGGAGATTCCGGGCTGCACCTCGATGTGAGGATGTCTTCGGAGGTCCTATGGTTAGCGTGAGGCTTCGCCTCCCGAAGCCGTGTGCCCAACCCAGGTGGATTTTCGTGCCGGAGCACCCGCGACTGCTTTCGGGCAAGCGCGACGCCTTCGATGACAGAGACTCGGGTCTATTTGAGGAGGAAGTGTCCAGCCCAGAAACATGTCATCCACGTGTGAGCTCCAATCCAAGACGCTCCAAAGAAGAAATCCGAGCGACATTTCAAAAAGGCCAAGCGGATCCCAAGCGAGATTCATGAACAGAGCTCGAACCAGAGGGCCCCTTTCAACCCTATAGCAATGCCTCCAAGTAAGGAGGGGCCGCAGTCCCCCGCAATGGCCAGTTTTGCTCCGTGGCGGAGGTCGGGGGAAAGGAGGGGTTCGAAGTGAAGGTTTGTGAGGGGCTCTTTCAACAGGGTTTAGGGTTTAGGGTTTAGGGTTTAGGGTTTAGGGTCTAGGGTTTAGGGTTTAGGGTTTAGGGCTTCTTCAACTTCAGGCCACAGGTGGCCGTGGATTGCTGGGTTGTTCCGAGGCGTTCGGGGCTTGCGGTGGTGTGCGAGGGAGCTCAGCTGTCAACCGTTTGAGGATTTTCCAGAGCTTCCTGGGCACAAGGGGGTCTATAGGCAAGTAGGCAAGAAGTGATTCAGGGTTTCGGGTTTAGGGTTTTAAGGTTTTAGGTTTTGGGTTCAGGGTTTAGGGTTTAGGGTTTAGGGTTTAGGGTTTAGGGTGCGGAGCTGCAATTGGTATTGTAGAAAAGAGTTAGTGTTGAGAGTTGGAAGGGTTAATGAACCCGGAAATCATGTTTGGCTCAAGATGGGCTTGAACAGAAAGCCACAAGTTCAAAAAGAAGTGCCTGGGTTCTTAGGGTTTGGTAAGGGTGTGTATTCCTTCCCCCTTTCCTTCCCCCCTGGGTTGCTCTTATCCGTGTTCTTGGTTGTTTCTTGGTTCGATCTGGGAAATATAAGTTCAGGGCGATTAGGGGAGTTGATTTCCTTCCTTGGTTGTCCCCCCGTAGGTTATGAGCCCAAATTAGGTTCCCTGCGGTTAAGTGTTCTTTCAAGGTTTTTGGGATCAAGAAGCAATGCCTTCCCCGAAGCGATGGCTCCAACTTGCCTCGGATGGTGGACAAGATGGTGGAGCTGGAAATGGTGCAGCTGAGTCTCTGGGTGAAAGATCGGTGTTGGAAGAGGTGATTCCCGACGCTGAAGTACATCTGGAAGAGGCCTTGGTTGCAGAAAGCCCCAATGCGGGTATGAATCCCAATAGGGATATGGTTAGCAATGCTGAAGCTGAAGGACGTGCTGTTTCTGTACCGCCAAAGCCTGGTGAAAAAAGGAACTGGGATGCGACTGGTGGCATAGATCGTGAAATGGAGGTGACTGTTTTACGAGTGTTACACAAACACGGGTACCAGCCGTCGTCTTCGACTTCGGGTCGAATGGTAGACCAAGAGTCTCAGACCGATCTGATTGGAGAAGTGCTACAAGCGACCAGGAGGCCGTTGAACAAGATCAAAAAGGGTCCATCTTCGAGTTCCCAAGGTGGTGGAAGCGGTCACAAACAGAAGGGTGCGGACGGCTTTGAAGCTGCACCTGCTGCTGAATACGCCATGGGGGAGGAGGAGATCCTACAGATGGAGGCTGAACGGTTGCGACAGCTGTCAGAAGAAGAGGACGAGATGCGACAGGTTTCTGAAAGGGACGGTTTTCGGAAAGACGAGCATCTGATCCAAGCGTGTGATGGCACAATGTGGGAATTGCACCTCCATGAAGATGGGAGACAATATTATTACTGCCTGGATACGCACGAAACCAAGTGGACATTGCCGGTGGTAGGTGAAAAGGTGAAGAGTGACGAGGTGGTTGGGTCTCCTTTGGGCAATGAGCTGGAAATGGAGGCGGCACTGGATTCTTCATCCTCTACTCCGAAGACTGAGTCTACGAGGGCATTCCAGGGTAGTGTAAATAGTTTAGGTGAAAAAGATTTTTCCTCTACTATCAGGGATAGCGGTCCTAGGGCTGATGGTGACGCCCCGACCTCGGGTTCTCCTGATGAGGAAGGGATTCCTGGGAACCAAGCCAACATCGCTGGAGCTCAACACCTGGATCGGGAAGAAACAGAAGCGCTTTCTGAGGGTGGGGCAGCGATGGAATTGGTGGATCCAGAAGAGAAAATGCCCAATGAGGTGATCGGAACTGTGTCGGCTGCAGAAGAGCGAGTGGTGGATGTGGTACCTGTTGTTCAGGAAGGTGGTCCTGGAGATTCGGAGGATGGAGAGAAAAAGTTGTGTGTTACGACTGAGGAGGTCTCTTCGTTTGGTGCCAAGAATTCTGCCATTCAAGGGGAAAAAGAAGCTTCTGGAATAGCTGGAGACACGGATGATCTGAAAAATGAGGCCTGGAGCGCCAATGATGCGCGGGTTGATGCGCCAGATATTACCTGGAGTGCGAAGGAAGCACGGGTTGAGGTGCATGTGGTGGTACGTTCCACGGGCGACTGCAACAATGGGGCGCAGGTCTCCGCAGCAGCTGATGATGGAGGTTCACAGGTGGACGCACTGGTGCAACCTGAAGTTAGCAGCGAGGAACGAAATGACAAGGGCTACACCGGAGCCAATGAGGCAGCTGTGGTCAATGATGGTGGAAATTCTCCTTTGGAGGCCATGGAACCAAAGGAGCCTGCGGTGGAAGAAAGCGTGCCTGCCGTGGATGATCGACTCAATTGCCCTGCAGTGGAAGAAGATTTGCCTGCTGCAGAAGGTGAGACAAAGGACTCCAATGATGGGTCCACTCCCATGAAGGGAGAAGCGTTGCCGTCTGGAAGTTCACCGGAAGTCGACACCGAGCGAACTACAGCAGATGAGGCAAAGCCGTTGGCGGAGAAAAAGGGAGGTCCTGAAATCCAGGAGCACAAAAAAGATGAGCTTGTGGGACTCGTGGAGCAGGACGAGCAGTGTGACCCAAAGGTGAAGACAAAGGATGCGCCAGGAGCCGATGATACAGAGATGGTTTCTGAAGAGCGTGTAAAGAAAGTGCCCCGAGCGGGAGCCTTGGAGTCACCTGGGCCACATTGCTATCAAGAGGGAGATGAGATCATGGGTCTAGTGCGCTGCATCAATGGGTATGGAGCCTTTTTGGACCATGGGGATATGAATGTATTGATTCCTGCAGAAGGGAACAATGCATATCAGTTCAAGTTTGGTGATACTGTCAATGGAACAGTGAAACGAGTGGAAGATGATGGTACCATAATCTTGGACACCTTTCTGGTTTTGGAAGAGGACGTGGAGGACTCTTCTTCGACGCTGCGGAAGTGGAAACCCAGCGGCTGGAGTACGTGGTGGACGGATTCATGGTATGCTGGTCAATGGTACCAAGATTCCAACGGTCAATGGGACTGGAAACAGGAGGAAGAGCAATCCGATGAAGAGCTTGTGGTACAGGAGTTGTCTTCTGAAGAACGAAAAGAAAGGCAACTTTATGGAGAAAAGATCTACAAAGCTCTTCTGGAGAATGGAAATGAAGAGGAAGCCTATGTTGGCAAAATTACTGGGATGCTGTTAGGTCGGCCGATGGAAGATTTACAGGAGTGTGTTGCGGATCAGGCATTCCTCAATGCGGAAGCTCGGCGCGCGTATGGCATCTTGCAAGATGATGGTTGGGAGCCTGATGGTACAGAAAACACAGGTTTGGGGGAGTTAACCACCTTTTCCCGAACACAGTACCACAACGCGCTCTTCGAACTGGCACGTAGGAAAAGGAGATTTTCTCGACCAGTTGTGGGTGATGCGGTGGCAGTGGTGCTGGATCAAGGGGAAGAGGAGTTTTGGAACGCGCTTTGGTTGGACACCAAGCTATTTGTGCAGGAGCTTGATGGTGCAGTGCAATCCATGAGCAAAAGGGAGAACAAGCCAATGGAAGCCTACATGGATCCTGACCAGTACAAAAAGGCTTACATGACACCAAAGACGGTGTTGTCACCTGGTTACAGCAAGCTGTGCAGGTTCTTCAATAAGGGAAGGTGTCGCAATGGCGATGGGTGTCCCTATGAGCATCGTCGGTACGGTGAAGGTTGGCCAGAAGGGGGGTCAACTGATCCAAAGAATAGCCAAGAAGCTGATGATGAGGACGGGAACATCGGTGACCCTCCCACAGAGGAAGGTACAGTGGATGAGGCACAGCAGGAGCGGGAGGATTTAGCCTTCCGGGCCAAGTACAATTTTGGCAAAGGTGCATCAAAGGGTGAGCCTACGTCAGGTGAGCCAAAAGGTCGGCTGTGCTTGTATTACAATCAAGGTGCTTGTAAATATGGGACTGCATGCAGGTACCTTCACAACGATGATGTAGCATTGGAAGGGACTTGGGAGCCCGGCAAATCTTGGGACAATGCTTCCAGGAAGGCGCTAAGGGACGCAGGGTTCCACCATTGCTGTTTCGATTATTACCTCAGAGGACGTTGCCGGAAAGGGTCAAATTTCTGCAAGTACTCCCACGACGAGATGTCAGAGGAGCGGCTGACACTCCTGAAACACCTGGCACACGTGGCCAATCAGGTCCGGTTTGAAAAGGAGAGAGGATGGGAGATCTCGGACAGAAGCACTTTTCAGCCACCTGCAAGTGGGGGAGCTGAATCTTCCTCATCCTCGGCACCAAAAGCACTGCAAATGACCAATGTGTCACAAAAAGATGGTGAAAAAGGTATTCTGGATGAAGTAGAAGCTGATGAGCAAAAGAATTCGGTGGCTGCATCCACTAGTACTCAGCTTCACAATCCGGAGGAGCCGATTGAAAATTGGATGGCTCGCAACGCACACCTGTGGGTGTATACCCCTCATGTAAGTGAGGTGATGATTACGCTTGGTGTGACCAATGTGTCGGACTTGCAAGAGTTCATCTTTGTGGAAGATTTGGTTGACAAAGGGATCAACAAAGTGACCGCATGCAAAATTCTGCAATTGGTGGGTGAGGTCCGATATCGACCGGGAGGACCGGAAAAGGCAGTTCCTTCTGATGCATCTGTACGGGTACAACAATCTTCTGGGAACAAAGGGACTGGAAGAGCGGCGGTGCGAACCCTCACTCAGGTGCGTGAAGCTGAAGACTCCGGTGCAAAAACTATGCCGAGAGGTTCCTATCGGGAGCTTTTTGATAAGGTCAGGTACCGTGATGGTTGGACGCTTGCGCAGAGGTCTCCGTTGTGCGTACAGAAGCTGCGGTTGGTGGGAGTTGGAATGCCGCCGGTGAATCCACCAACGAAAAAGTATCGGTCAAGATCAAACCCTGTAAGAAGGGGAAGGCCCTTGCTGGACAAAAAACAGGTGCGACAGGTGCCACGATCTCGGTCACAACGACGAGTGCAACTGGCGGAAGTGGTGGAAAAACCGAAGCCACTGGAGCCGGTGAAACCTCGTGGTGGTTTGTCGTATCCATTCAGCAGAGCGTGGGCAGATGTGGTGGATGATGATGACCAGGCGGAGGCTTTGGTCTCGTATGCCGCTTCCTCAAGCGATTCAAGCGAGGAGGAGACCAATGCGGTACAACGCCTGAAGGAACTCTTTTTGCAAGAAAGGGATTCGTGGAGAACT